AACGGGAGGCCACTGACAGATGCCTCCCTCTCCCCCTGAGGGTCCAAGTCCCATCAAGTTGACAAGTGCAGACCCTCCTCTCCACTGACTTCCACGGCTCTAGATCAAACCATGTTTTTTCTCTCTAAACATATCCTCCGATGAGGATTAAAAAAATGTTAAACACAAGTTTATCATATGACCCAGCAATTCCTACCCCAAAGAACAGAGACTCCAACACACCTGTAAACATATATTCACAGCAGCATTTCTCATAGGAGCCAAAAGGTGGAAACAACCCGTGTCCATCAACAGACAAATGGACAAAGGAATTGTGATACAGCTATGCACCCGAGTATCATTCAGCCGCGGCCAGGAATGAAGTCTCCATGGGCAATAGCACAGGTGGGCCTTGTACATCAATAGTCAGACACGAAAGGGCAAATACTGTACGATTCCACTTCTCTGAGGTGTCCGAACAGGCACGTGGGGCAGAATGGGGAGAGGGAGTTGGGGAGTTACTGCTTAATGGCTAGTTTGTTGGGGGTGATGAAAAGCTTGGAAACAGACTGTGGTGATGGTGACAGTGTTGTACATGCAGTCAGTGCCCCTAAATTGTACACTTACAGTGGTTAAAATGACATATATGTTATGTACTAGAGGCCCAGTACACGGATCCGTGCACCAATGTGGTCCCTTGGCGTAGCCTGCGGGGATCGGGCCTAAACCAGCAGTCCAACGCCGCCTGCCGCTGCCTGCTGCTCCTGCTTATCCCCACCCCGCTGCACCTGCTGCTGCCACGGCCACTCTGTAGGCTCACTGACACTCCGCTGCGGTCTCAAGGCGGCGGCAGCCAGCCATGAGCCCAGGGGGCAGCTCCTGTTGGTCAGCTGAGTGGCACTCCCTCTGTGGGAACACACTGACCACCAGGGGGCAGCTCCTGCATTGAGCATCTGCCACCTGGTGGTCAGTGTGCATCACAGCAGCCAGTCGACCGGTCGTTCTGTCGCTTAGGCTTTTATATATACAGATATTTTTTTGAAGTTAAAATGTTGCAAGGAACAGCACAGAAATTGTCTAGAGACGATGTGAAAAGCGTGGTCTGCTTTTCCATGACATTTCCCTCAGGAAGCTCAACTTTATACCAATTGACGGCAGGTTGTCTGCTTGCTGCTTTTCTAAAAGCGGCGGCAGAGCAGACCAAAACATCTGCTATTTCTAGATAAAAGGGAAGAATTGAAAGAAAAAAAAGAAAGAAAAGTCTGGTCTAAAACTGTGATTTGGGGGAGGCGAGCAGCACCACCACCGTATCTCGTGGGTGCACGGGACCATAAAACAGCTATTCAAAGTTACCATTTAATTTTATATTTTGAAAACCAACCAGATGTTTTCACAGCAGAAGGCCGGGCCAAATATTCGATGGCAGAAACCAAGCGGGCCGGCCTGAGTGTGAACACCCCTCAAGGGGCGCAGCCTCCTGGAACGGGGTGCGGGGCCTCCACGTCCCTACAGTCCTCCGCCCGCACGACCGAAACCGGGTCACCCCGCGACACAAACCACCGGCCAGCTGGGCACACAGCGGAAGGAATGCAAAGGGAACCTCTAGGCAGTGGCTCTCAACCTTCCTAATGCCGCGACCCTTTAATTCAGTTCCTCATGTTGTGGTGACCCCCGACCATAAAAATATTTTTGTTGCTACTTCATAACTGTAATGTTGCTACTGTTATGAATCGTCATGTAAATATCTGATATGCAGGATGTATTCTCATTGCTACAAATTGAACATAATTAGAGCATAGCGATTAATCACAAAAACAATATGTAATTATATATGTGTGTTCCGATGGTCTTAGGCGACCCCTGTGAAAGGGTCGTTGGACTCCCAAAAGGGTCGCGACCCACAGGTTGAGAACCGCTGCTCTAGAGGCTCGTCCACCCAGCGCCGGGGCGGGTTAAATTCTGACGGGCACCCAGCGGCTGTAGGAGGCAAACACAACAGTAACTTCTCTTTGGGACACTTTGAAGGAAATGTGCGCGCTGCCCGGGGCTGGGTTCGGGAGGGGGCGCGTTATTGATTCGCTCTGGTTCCTGCTGGGAGTTTTCCGCAATCCTTCCGCACCGCGCGGGCTCCGCCGGGCAG